CATAATATCTGACCTGGCCTCTCGAGAGAGAGCGACCTCTACCTCCCCGACCTCCGCCCCTAGCTGGCTGGGCAGATGGGGTAGCAGCGGGAGCTGTGATCATGGCCTGAGAACTCTGAGGAGCACGCTGTGGCTGAGCAGTTTGTGGAGGTGCACTCCTCCCAAGTCTAGGGCAATCCCTCACCACATGACGGGTGTCACCACACTCATAACAAGCTCTGGGAGGATGTGGTTGTGGGAACGGTGCGGTACGGGTACTCCAAGACCCCTGAACACCTGAAACTCTATGGGAACTCTGAGATGCAAACTGAGCTGGCTGACCCACAAAACCTCTGCCATGACGCACCCTACCTCCAAAATAAGGACCAGCATATCTCCCCGGTCCACGAGGTCTACTCACTCCTCTATACTCTCCCTCCTGACCTCATCTGTCCTCTCTCTCCTGGACCCACCTGTCCCCTGCTCGGTGAGAGGTCCTCACCACCCGCTGAAATGGGACCACAGGCTGTGTCGCCATGACACCTGGAACCTGACCAATGGAAGCTTGCTGCTCTGGAGTGGGGGAGGCTGGAGTCTGGGTCCCTCCCCCGATCTGTGAAGTAGTCGGTATAACCTGAATCAATCTCGCCTGAATCAACATACCAAACATGCACAGGAACTGCGCCAAAGTCTCCTGAAGAGTTGGAGTAGTAGTAGCCGTGGGCGTGTCGGGTGCCTGAACTCCGGTTGGGTCTGCTGGTGGTACCTCGGTGGCAGCTCGCACAGGTGCCCTGGCTGCACCATGCGCGCGTCCTCGGCCTCTACCCCGGCCCCGGCCTCTGACGGCTGCAGTAGGGGGCGCGGGTGTCTGATCATCTCGAGTAGCACGTGTCCTCACCATCTGTGAGAGAATAGAAGTCGGAAGTTTAAAATTGATGTTCAAAAATCTCGCACGACAGGAATCAAATGAAGTGAAATTTTCCTAACGGTTACATAGCCTCTCGTAGATAAGTACAGATGTCTCCGTACCGATCAGCGAGACTCTAATAAACCGGCCTGTGTTCCGTGACTCCTATGAACCTAGAGCTCTGATACCAATTTGTCACGACCCCAGTTCACCCTCCATGAACATGTCGTGATGGCACCTAGTTCCTACAACTAGGTAAGCCTATCAATGCGGAAATAACAACTTAACTTGCGAAATGGTTGAATAAAGCTAAACATATTAGAATAATAACTGCATATAAGGCCGCTCGGCCTATACAACTCAAAAGAAATACGGAAGTCTACAGCTAAATCCCAAAACCCGAAAACTCACGGGAACCACAGGCTAATAGTACGCTGCTCTAACTCCAGAATATCTAAACAACTGAGAGAAAAAGGAATAAACTAAATACTAAAGCTGGAACAGAATAGAGACTCCTGGCCTGCGGACGCGGCAGATATACCTCGAAGTCTCCGTGTATCTCCTCGCCTCAAGGATAGTACGCCTGAGAAGAGGTACCTGGATCTGCACATGAAAAACATGCGCAGGAAGGGCATGAGTACACCACAGCGGTACTCAGTAAGTGCCAAGCCTAACCTCGGTCGGGTAGTGACGAGGAAGGTCAGGGCCCTACTGAGATAAAACATAATAAATAATAAGATAACAAAAACAGTTTAAATAAAGTCTACAGCGAGAATCTAAACCAGATAAATAAGGAAGAACAGTAGTAGAAAGCAAAGGTAACAATATAAGGAATACTGCTCTCAACAAGGAATAATAGCCGGGGATCTCTTGGTATCCCGAGGATCTCTTGGTATCCTCATCATATGCACCAGGGATCTCTTGGTATCCCGATGATCTCTTGGTATCCTCATCATATACATTGGGAATCTCTTGGTATCCCGAGGATCTCTTGGTATCCTCATCATATACACTGGGGATCTCATGGTATCCCGAGGATCTCTCGGTATCCTCATCATACACACTGGGGATCTCTTGGTATCCTCATCATATACACTGGGGATCTCTTGGTATCCCGAGGATCTCTTGGTATCCTCAATAAGTAAGCCGGGGATCTCTTGGTATCCCAATACATATAGAAATACATGTGCTAGGGATCTCTTGGTATCCTGCACCCTCAATCCAGAATATATCGAGTACAGGGGGATCTCCCGGGAAGCCGTCCCGTAGTCCCAAATTAAACACACAACAACAACAACTCATAATCTCAGAATATATGCTAAAATCAGTACAAGTAATAGAAATTTCTAGCCTAACATGCTTCACAGAGTACAAATAGTACAGTCAAACAATTAAGCAAGTAAGTCAGCTAAACATGCTTCTCTAAGCTAGCATAGGTTTAAACTTACAGTCCAGAATGAACAAGTAAACAGGAAAACTCAATTTGAATACTTCAAGTAGAAACGGGTTTACAATAATTAGCTCAAGTACGCGCGCGTCACCTCACGTACGAGGCATTCAAATATTCAAAGATCATGTCCTAAGGGGAAAGGTCCCCCACACAAGGTTAGACAAGCCACTTACCTCGAACCGGCTCAATAATCAACTAGGAACCACGCCTTTGCCACGAGTATCCAACTCCAAATGGCCCAAATCTATTCAATTCAATTACATATCGTAAATAATATTGCAAACAACTGATTCCACTATTAAATTTAAAGCTAGGGCGCGAAAATAGGAAAAATGACCAAAATGCCCCTCAGGCCAACGTCTCGGAATCGAATAATTTTCACATTTTCAGAACCCTCGTACTCTCACGAGTCTAACCATATAAAAATCTCCCAAATCGGAGGTCAAATGCCCACTCAAAACTCAATGGTTTAGTCTAAGAAGTTTTCTCCCATTTTGATGCCAAATTCGAAATTAGATGATGGATTAAGCTATATATCGATGGAAATACAACNAACAAAAATATTCACCATTGATCATAAAACTAATATTAAAACTATATTGAAATAAAAGCTCCTTAAATTAAAAGAAACATAATTAAAGTGAATATGTCCAACATAAAAGTCTAACTGAGAAATATAGACTAAGAAGTGGAGGAATGCAGTGACACTTCACTTGCAATTAGTCTTGATCCAATAGTTAGCTTCATATACCTGTATAAAAGATAGAGAAAAAATTAGATTTAAGTTAATACTTTATGGTATCATGGTATAAATAAAATATAATTGGTATAAACTACAACTTCTTGTTAGACGTAGAGTTTAATTGGTGAAACAAATAAATGAATTGTGATACAAATAAATAAAAATGAGAAAAAAATTAAATAGTGTGAAGTTTAGTGTACCCAAAGTTGATAATCTGGTGGAGCTCAATCTTCGTTGTATCATTAAAAAAAACATTCGAACTTAGATGCTAAAAGAATTATAATGCAGTTCAAAATGGCAAGAAATGGACACAGTCGAAAGAGAGAAACAAGACTGTCACATGAAAGAAGTGGCAAAACAAGTCAAAATGCAGAAGAGAAGCACAGAATGTTTAAAAGAAATGGGCTTCAAGCAGACTGGAATTGGTCAAGAAATATGGAGATCAAGCTAGGCACAAAAGTCAGCAGAAAGTGCTGTGATCAAATCCCTTGGGAGATGATCATAGTACTGATGCTTTTAACTAACAGTGTGTTCTTTTTTGCAGGGAAAGATACTGTATTCATGCCTCATCTTTTGCTAAACTATTCAAGGGTGGTATTAGCACATTGTGCTCATTCCCTAGACGGAATAGCAAAGATGAGCACAAGCATGGAAGATTGGAGAAATTATACTAGTCTAATAACCAATCTCTGTAGGACTAATATGCACATGAGGATATTATGTAGTAATGCAGGATGGTTGGTTTCAGATGCAAGCAAGCAAGGAGACTTTCTAAAGCATACAAGAGCAATGGTTTGGTGGGGTGTTTTATACCTACAACCAAAAAACAAATCAACTCATACAGGGGGTCAGGCAAGGATGCAAAAAGCAGGATATTCAATTGCAGATCATCAAATCCAAGAGGAGGAGATGGTGATCAGTAGTTACGATATCTATGTGGTATTTGATGAAGGAGAGAAGTCAGAAATCATTTCCTCCTATTTGCTACAACTTCAAAGGGTGGTATTAGCACTTTGTGCTCATTCCCTTGAAGGAATAGGAGGCAAATGCATGGACACATTGATAGTACAAGATAAACTGGGATTGACAGTGCAAGATAAACTGATATTACTAATGCACAGGAAGTATAATAATCAGCTCACTAAGGTCACCAACTACCAAATGGAGATCACAACAACAAGATGGAAAATGCAACAGAAACAGTGGACATATGCCAGATTGGACAGGAATTTCAGACTCAATGAATGCAAAGTGGAGCATAAGTGTAATACAAAATACTAGCCGGACATACCCGGAAGGAATTCAGGCAGCAAAAACACAAGAAGCTGAAATAGAGATTGGCCGCAAAGGAAATAGACCACAACACATAACAGGACTCAAATATGAAGACTGGACTACTACAGGTAAATTCATGAAATGCAGACAATCATGGGAAAACATACATATCATCTGGGCAAATCAAGTATTTCTACAGCAGCAAAAAGGGAATCAACAAGCCAAAACAATCACAATGGATATGATCGTACAAGTCAAAAGTGGCTATGGATGCAAAATGCATGCACATTGGTTCGGAAGGCTTCAAAGGCTAATACTTAGCATATGTAATAATGCTAGATTTCAGTATGATTTTAGGATAGTAGTAGCTTGCAAAGTTTATTTGTTACATTTTGTAAGACCTCCAAACATGTTTGCTTTTAATTTTAGATATTTATAAAACAGCCCTAGGCACACTGCCTAGTGAATTTTGCTAAAAAAAAAAGAATTATAATTGAATTTATCATTTAAAGATGTAGTACTTCTAACCTTGATGGTGATGAGCCAATAAAATGACGCTTCATTTCGCTTAATATTTTCTCTAGGCGTGCCCTTAAAGTACCCAAATCAGAAGTTAATGTTTGTATCTGTATCCGCTGATCTGCTACCTCAGTTTCAGCTACATTCAAACGTTCTTGTAAACCATGTTGGGCAGTAGCAGCATCCTCTTTTGCCCTCCTAAGAGCGTCCTCTAATTCTGCTGTCCTTCTTTTTGTTGCTGTAGTTGTATTAGGCTTTGGACCATAGCCAAGGCCTTTAATATATCCCGACCTTGTACCAAGTACATTATCAACAATTTCATCAATAGTCATTGGATTCTCTTCAGAAATAGACTGAGCTCTCAAATCTCTCATTTTGTTCTACATAAAATATTGCATCAGTTAAATTAATTATAAGATAGAATGAATACATGTGACATGTTACTAAAATATTACTTACGTAGTTAGTCTCAGCCTCTAGAGATGACCATCCTTTTTCACTCGAGTAATGGGTGCTTTTGTAGAACTCAATCCTATTTGGCTCTACTCCTTCATGTTCCTTCACACCCTACACAATATGAAAATAATATGAAATATTACTAAAATATCATCTTAGTAATGAATGTGTAGGGTGATTGAACCTCAACCACATTGACATGATTAGATTACAGGCTCAACAAAAGGTAATGAATGTACGTGGAACAAAGCTTTTTACCTATACCAACTCCTGTCAAGGCAGCCATTTTTGAGAGTTTTGTGAGACAGAACATTGCAGAGTCAGAAATTGATGTGACAAGCAATATTAGACAGCTAACGGAGAGTAGTTATGGCTTCCCAACTAACAGCAAGACAGAATTTTTATATGCTGACTGTCCTTTTATACAAGAATAAACTCAGAGAAAGAAAACACATAAAGGTTTTATATCAGAAAGCTCAATATATTTTAAGAGCCTTAAAATACTACTACTAACAGTTGTTGTAGAATACATGACGCAGACATAGAACTGGTTTTCCTTGTTATTAAGGTCCTAGATGTGATACTAATATTTGATAATTAAAAGTTTAACTAAAGCATGCTGACAAAGATTTAAAGAAAAGTGAATAATTAGTGACGATTTTTGTGTCGTGGCTAAAAGTTTTGTAGCTAAATATCACATTTGTTGTAGTGATGCTAATAACCAGAAACCTCGCAAGTAGTTAACCATCCATTCGAAAGAAGGAAAAAGAGGAAAATTTAGAAAGCACTCATATGTAATATATCACAAGAAGTTTTACAAAGGTTACAAGATGATTGCAAGATGATCGTCCAACTACTACAAGACCTCATTTATATAGGGCTAGGAGGTTGTTACAAAAACTTACATGATAAAATAAACCTATCTTACATGGCAAACTTATCTTACAAGTGGGTCCTTCTAAGCATGTGAAGGACTTTAGGCAAAACAACTAAAAAGCACCTGAAAACATGTGAAATGGGTGAAATATACATGGTGTAGCATGTGAAAGTATGTGGGAGCATGTGACGCCATGTGAAAGTATGGTGTTGCATGTGACGAAGCATGTGGAGGCATGTGGAAGCATGTGAAAACAAGTTGAAGTCGGGCCCGGATAATATGGAAAGATGTGGAAATTTGTTTTGGCTTGGGTAGGATATTTTTGAGGGTTTTTTAGTGGCTAGTCTAGGATTACGGTGGGATTAGCAGGGATTTAGGTAATTATTCTTCATTGATTCTAGGGTTGTCTTCTAGGCATCTTTTCAAAGACCTTGTGTAGTAACGCCTGGAATTTGACGGTCCTTCTTCGCGGTGCTCTTTCTCTTTTGGATTGAGAGATGTAATCTGCAACCTTAATCTGGAAATGTCTTGAGTGATCTTTTCTCGGATGACTTCGTATGGGGTTTGATATTCTTTTGCTGCTGCCCGGACTCTTTCCCAGTGAGGATAATTGCTTGTATAATTCCAACTTGCCCAATCTTTTGGCCATATCTCTTTCGGAATGCACCTATTTTGCTAGAAAAGATTCTTTGTGCCTCGCTATATTCTTCTTCTATTGATAAAATGGACACGGAAAATTTTCACCAGAATGATGCCTCTGCTTGCGCCTGGACTTTTCCATTAATAATCTTTACTGGCCTATGAAACATGAATACCTTTGCTGTGTAGGAATCATTGAAACATTTCATCCAGTATCTTCTTGGTTTGAACCATAGCAAAATATTTTAAGAGCTGGTGCAATGTTATCAAAATCCTTGAAGATGTTGCATTTGAATTCCAAGAAAATATAATACTGATGGCATAGGTACCAGAAAAACCATAATAGTTCTTGTGGAAAATACTTGGCTTGAGCTATGAATATATGGCAGAAGGGATATTCTGGATTGACCCCGTATGGCTTGAGAATGGATCCTCCATGTTGTCGGAAAACTTGGAGCTCATAATGAGTTCTTCTTTCCATAATAATTGACGGATCAAAGGGATCCATGAGGTTGAATAATTCCGGTGGATGATCTGTTGGCTTTGATGAACTTGTTCCTGGTAAACTTGAAAACATGAAGATGTGACTTATTAGCTTTTGCTTTGACTTCAGTTTTGCTGGGGAAAATCTCTTTGAGAATTCTTCCGGTCGAGACAGAAAATCTGCGAGAATATTATCCTTTCCTTTCAGGTGCCTGACTTCAAACTTGTATGGAGAGAACCATTGAGCCCACCTGAGAATCTGAGGATTGGTAATAATTTTGGCATTTAGCTGAATCATCTTTGGGAAGGCCTTCATATCCATTTCTATCAGAAATTCTGTATGAATAAGGAAGAAATTAAATTTCTTGATTCCATTCTTTACTGCAAGAATTTCCTTGAAAGTGGAGTGATAATGTTGCTCGACATCTTTGAACTTTCCACTGGCGTATCCGCATATTTTCCTCTGGCCATCTTTTTCTTCAAATAGAACAACACTCCAATATTCATTGCTAGCATCAGTTTGCAATATCTTCTTACCGTCCGAAGGGATATAGAGGGACTTGACATTTTTAGAAATCTCCTTTATTTCCTTGACTGCTTCATCTTGTTTCTTTCCCCATGGTGGAGCATCTTTCTTGAGCATCTCTGCAAGTGGAGAAATGTATGTAGAGATATTTGGGATGAAATCTCTCACATAATTTATTATGCCCAAGAATTGTTGGATTTGCTTTGTTGTGAAGTTGGTATCCGGAAATTTGAGTAATTCTTGACATATATGTGGTCCTGGACTGTATTCACCTTGGACAAAATGCATTCCAAGAAAATCAATCTCCTTTTGAGCAAGAACCATCTTTTTTGCTGAGAGCATGATTCCTTACTGTGTTACCAATGCCTCAAATTGACGAAACAAGTTGATATGTTCCTCCAATGTATAACTAAATAACAGGATGTCATCAATGTAAACTAAAGAGGTATGGAGGATGGGTTGGAATATTTTTATCATGGCTTTTTGGAACAAAGAAGGTGCAGTTTTTAACCCGAAGGGCATGACTTTCCATTGGAAGTGATGATCAGGGATGCAAAATCCCGTTTTGGGTCTTTCTTCAGGGTGGATTCCCAATTACCAAAATCTTGACTTTAAATCAAACTTGGAAAAATATTGGCCTTGGCTAAGTGGGAGAAAAGGGTGAGTTTATTTGGGATAGGGAACTTATCATCTTGGAGGAAATGGTTAAGTGGCTGGTAGTTGATGACTAACCTGAGTTTTCCTCTT